ATTCACTCTCTTTGTCATTTTCTCTATACTTATGTGTGAAATGTGATATAATCTTTTCTCTACTCCACCTATGACAATATTCTGCCATGCTTTTAATGTGTGGTTAACGATGCTATACTATGATAATGATGCAAAATATTACATAGACGATTCTATGATTGACAATTCTACTACATGATGAGAATATATGTATGTTTGTATCACTTCGAATCGTCTTATAAATTTTATTATTCTATATTTATTCTCTTTTATAAATTCTCATTATTTATATAATTGAACTAAATCACAGCTGTTTTTTATTTTTTTCTTTTCAGCTTTAAACTGAGGTAATTATTTATATATTAACAGTTTATGTCATATTTGGTACAGAGGAAATTCTCTTCATAAAAGAATCATATCCGTCATCTTAATTTTTGTTAATGTAATTATTGAATTCTAAGATATAGACATTTGGATATATGTCCAGGTTCAAATGAGTATTTTGATTTTTAGATATTTCAATCTAGAAGTATTATATCCATTAAGATATTTTACATTTCACGTTTGGTTCAGATATTTATAGTTTGGGTTTGGATAGTTTGGATTTTAAGCGGCAAAATTAAAAAGTATTTTGTAAACATAAAAAGTCATTATAAACTGAAAATCTAAGTGCTATTTGGTATGGAAAACATGTTCATACCAGACATACACACTAATTAAACAAACTGACATAGTTTTACGAGGTGTTCAGCATTGTCCTTCAATTGTGTTCTATGTTGATTTAATACCACCGGTTTGGTTCTCCGAATCAGTAGGTCACATTTCATAGTTTAGTTTATTGTTGTCAAAAATAAAAATAAAAATCATAAAACAAATATAAAAATGTTCGTGTATCTGTTTTTCAGAAATGACGAAATAAAATAAAAAAATCTCTTGAAATCAGATTCATTTGCCTCTAATATTTTAAGTATTATTCTTTTACATTATTCAATATTAAAAAGTATTTTTTGGTGTAAATATCAATATTTATTTATCAGATACGAAAATATTACCAAAATAAAAAGGAGAAAATGTATTTTATTTAGCATAAATTAGATCAAGGGGTCAACAAATCCTTATTTAGCTATTTCATGCTTACTAACAAACGAAAAATTACAAGTTCTATGTTTTTTTTTTTTTTGTGTTAGAAACACCAACAAATTTTATGTTTCAAAAGAAAACCCAACAAATTTATTCCCAACAGAACAAACACAACACGATTAGTCTCTTGAATTTTGGATTGTGTTACATCACCTTTATTTAGATCAAATATGATATGAGATATTGTGGATCGTCTAGTGGTTTCAATGAGATTCTCACACACACTGCCGAGGTCGTGAGTTCGACCGTTTATCAGTAGGGTGATACTAAAACCTCTCCAAAAAATCATGTTGCAGATGGTCCACGCGTTTTTACGACGCTTATGAAATTTTTTTGGATGTGAAGTCTACGTGTTTTTACGACGTTTATGGAATTTTTTTGGATGTAAAGTTTTTTAGGATGAGGTTAATCACTATGAAAAAATTACTCACAACAGTTTTTAACTACGCGTCTGTGGTCGGATGGTGAAGACGTTTCGTGGATCCATAAGGAATCCGAATTCGAATCCGCACCACACTAGATTTTCACAAGCATTCTCTCCAGAGAAGAGTTTATCATTATTTTTAAAAACTATGCGTTTGTGGTCGGATGGTCAGGCGTTCCATGGATCATTAAGAGACCCAAATTCGAATCTGCAACATACTAAATTTCCGACGCGTTTCGTGGACCTTAAAGAACTCAAATTCGAATGTACATCACACCAGAATTCCACACGCATAGCCATCAGAGCTTTCACATTCTTTCTCCCGATAATGGTCTACCATTTTTATTTTCTTTTAGATAAAACATGATACATGTTGAAAATACATTATTTTAAATAATATTTTATAAGAAACTGTAAAATCAAAAAAGAAACGTAAAGTTGTTTTTAAAAGTAAAGTCTGGCGTGGGGTTTCTTCTGGAAAACACAAATACGCAGAGAAAGGAGGAGCCCTGAGAGAAGTGAGAAGAAACGCAAGATTGTAAGAGAGAAAGACACCGAGACTTCTCTAACTGTTTCTTCTTCTCAAGATCACGATTCGTCTATCTCTCTTCTCCGCCGTTAACTACAAGGTATCTTTCTCTCTCTCTCTCGTCAATCTGTTTTGCTCGCATTTTCTTGGTTGATCTTGAATGATTGTTCCGATGAGAATGAAACTTGGTTACTGGGTTCTGTTGCGTCGATTCTGCCTGAAAAGTTTCGTTTTTTGAGATGATCCTTGGTTTTCTGTAACCCTATTTTGCAAACTGTTTCTCTCTGATTGTGTTTCGCCTGGGTTCTCGAGAAAAACAAAACATCTTTTTCGTAATCTTCTTATTTTGGTTAGATGAGTTTCCCAAAGTTATATACTTCTATATTCGGACCAACCCTTTTCTGTAAAGTGTGCAACTTTCCAGTTTGTAAAGATTCGTTAATTAATGCTAAATCTATTCTTCCTCTCCTTTAAATCTGGTTCTAAGGTAAACCTTTTAGGCTCAAACGAATGTTTTGGCTCTGAGTCTAATTCAAACGCTGTTAGTTTCAAGTCTTGATGTTGCTTTTGTGCGTCCTCCTCATGTTTTCTAAAGGTTTTGGATTTTGTTTGTGCAGTATACAGAGGCTGGAGCTGGGGAAGAAAAGGATTGTCTATGGAGGGAGAAGACGTAAAAGGTTTGGCATGCCAGAAGACTACGGATGGGAAGGCGAGTAACGGGAAGGCTGTGCCTTCTTGTTGCCTCAAGGCCATGGCTTGCTTACCAGAGGAAGATGCTAAGTGCCACTCCACTGTTGTTTCTGGATGGTTCTCCGAGACTCACTCTCGCTCTGGTTATTTTACTTTGCTTCTTTTCTTTTCATGTCCAAGTTTCTCTATTTTCTCAGAACATGACTTACTTTTGTTTTTTCTTTTGTTATAAACTGGATACAGGGAAAAAAGGCGATGCTGTGTATTTCAACAACCCTATGTGGCCAGGTAGGTTGATCCTTGATAGGGCTTGTTTTTGTTGATTTTCAGTATCTCAGTACTACCTTATGATCTCTTGGTATGAGGTTCTGCTAGGATATGTGCTAAGCTTATGTAGAGTGACTTATGCAGCTTTTCTGCTTGTGTTGATTGTAGGTGAAGCACACTCACTAAAAGTTGAGAAAGTTCTGTTCAAGGACAAGTCAGATTATCAGGAAGTCCTAGTGTTTGAGGTTAGAAATAGGTTTATTTCGTTGGATTTTGTGAGTATTGTAACGTTTATACTTTAGGATGACCTCATTTTTTTTCTTGCTTTTGCAGTCAGCTACCTACGGGAAAGTGCTTGTTCTAGATGGTATTGTACAGCTGACTGAAAAAGATGAATTTGCATATCAGGAGATGATAGCCCATTTGCCTCTATGCTCCACACCTTCACCTAAAAATGTAATTTCTCTCACCTTGAAAGTTTACACCTCTTGCAAACAAATCAAAGTAAAACTGTTACAGCTTGTGATAATTGCTCTTTTGTTGAATCTGATGAGACACAATATACTTACCTGTTTTAGTTTGCGTGTTACTAATAGATGACATGAGATGGATTGTCAAGCATATACGAGTTTGTTACTTCTTTAAAGTTAGTTTTTGGCTGTATTAATATATTTGCAGGTTCTGGTTGTTGGTGGAGGTGATGGTGGTGTTCTCAGGGAGATTTCTCGCCATAAGTCTGTTGAGGTTATTGACATTTGTGAGATAGACAAGATGGTTATAGATGTAAGTATATGGTCTTGCTGTAACCATATCATATTATGAGCAATTTTATGTTATGGTCTATCTTAGAAAATGTGATTCTTTTGGTCTTTTAGGTGTCTAAGAAGTTCTTCCCCGAGTTAGCGATTGGATTTGAAGATCCTCGTGTTCAACTTCACATTGGTGATGGTAATCAAACATTCTTCAACTCACTCCCAGTTTTCAAACCTATATAAAACTTTCATTGTGTTGATAATTGATATCACTTTGTTCTGGCAGCTGTTGAGTTCCTTCGTAAGTCCCCTGCAGGGAAATATGATGCCATTATTGTCGATTCTTCAGATCCTGTTGGTATGTTCGCTTTGGATATCTGATTAGTAGGTGATAAGAACTTGCTGCAGATGCAATTCTCTTGACGCCTTTTTGCTCTTTAAAATAACCGTAGGTCCTGCCCTGGCGCTTGTTGAGAAGCCTTTCTTTGAAACGTTAGCTAGAGCGTTGAAGCCTGGAGGAATCCTTTGCAACATGGCGGAAAGCATGTGGCTCCACACTCATCTCATTGAAGATATGATCTCCATTTGCCGCCAGACATTCAAAAATGTTCAGTACGCGTGGAGCAGCGTCCCAACATATCCAAGGTAACTTAACTTCTCTTCTAATCACATTTCGTTGTCTCTCACTGGAAATAACTCATGAAGTGACAAAACATATTTATTGTAGCGGCGTGATTGGATTTGTCTTGTGCTCTACCGAAGGACCTGCTGTTGATTTCAAGAACCCTATCAACCCTATTGAGAAACTAGACGGTGCCATGACCTATAAACGAGAAATGAAGTTTTACAACTCGGATGTAAGTTTTAAACTCGACTATGACTTCCCCCATTAAGTACTGTAGATTCACTTAGACAAGATCTTAATCTGTCTTTCTTTCCAAAACAGATGCACAGAGCAGCTTTTGCATTGCCCACCTTCCTGCGAAGAGAAGTGGCTTCACTTCTTGCTTCTTGACGTCTGTTTGGCCTGACAGTTTACTTTGTCCCTCATATTAAAAACTCTAGAGAACTCTTATAAGAGTAATGAATAATTGAATCATAGGAGGCTTTGTATCTCTAAGCTCACTCCTTTACATTAAAGACTAATACTTTTTATATAATTGGTTTTTCATGAATTGTTTTTGTTTTTATAAGGCAATCATCATATACATATGCTTAATTAATCATCACTATTGAAATCTGGTTCTGCTGGTTTCTGAAGTAGCATAGGCGGCATACGTTCAGGCATCCTCGGCTTCCTTACTGAACCGCTCCTACGTATAGTCCGTAAGATATTTGCAGCAAACCGTGACGCGTACATGGTGGCGGCGAGGCTGGGGGAGCTTCCACAAGCTTTATTAGCCAGAGCGTCTTGCAACCGATTCTCTTCTTCTTTAAGAGACTCTTCTAGTTTCTTCTTCACGTGTCTTCTCCAAGCGGCTTGTATGAAGCAAGCTGCCCAAGTCCTCCATTGCTGCGAGTAGAACCTGAAAGTATGCCTCAGCTGTTTGCTGTGGAGCCGTCTGAATTGAGAAGCCACAAACTTGAGGTCATCAGCTTTAAGTGCGAAAGCTTCAACTTCCACGAGAGCTCGAACGGTTCTTGTTGAGATTGGGAGGTTTGAGGATGTGTGTGGGTCTAAAGCCCATGTTAGAAGCTCCTCGCCGCAGAAATCACCAGCTCCAAGATGCTCTGCGTTGAAGAAACCTGTTCTTCCACCGTTTGTTGTTATTGTTAGAAGCTTTCCACGCATTATAAAGAGCATTTCGTCTACGGGGTCTCCTTCTCTCACGATGTAGCTGTCCTCTGTGTACAGCACAGGTTGCAAACGGTCACAAAGAGCATCAAGTAGCTGCTCGTCCATTTTCTCAAACATCGGAACCTGAAACCCGGTAAAGACAGTATGGTTAAGAGTGACACTGACAAAAGAGAGGAGATGAGTTGTGTTTTTACCCTCATGAGAAGAGCGAGACAGAGATGGCGTTTGATGTCACGTCTAAGATCTTTGGGAAGATTACTAAGAAGATTCTCTTCGTCGACGCCTCTGGTCTCTTGCCACTTGTACTGCTCGTATCTCCTGATTCTTTTTCTCAGAGGCTCAGGGAGTAAACGGTGAGCCATCCACTGCTCAGCATCTCTTCTCTTGACTCTCATCTCCTCCAACCTTGTGGTGGTTGATTGCAGATACGTCTGCACATTGTAGTTTATAACACAATAAGCAACTGATTTTGCAAACACTGGCACATATGATGAAACGAACGAGACTAACCTGCATGTTCCCTATCAAGAACGAGAACAAGACCAGCCCGGATATAGAAATGAAGACAGCAAAACAGATCTCCCAAATGTATGTACTTGTTTTAAGGTTTTGACCGAGCGAACTGGATCAAAAAACACATAACAAAGATTCAGGAACTTGTTGTTTTTGAATTAACGACGAAAACTTGCTGCTAGATATGATATAATCTCAGTAGTACCTGAGGTTTTGCAGACCCCACCAGAAGCAGTAAAAGAACTTCTGAGGGAAATCTTGAGATTCCACTACACCGGACTGAAGAGCGTCAAGGAATATCCCAAAGTCAAAAAGTGTTGCGTTTGGTGTCTGAACCGGACAAGACGTATTGAGGAAAGCATTGCCTCCTGCAGCTTTATGGTCACAATACAAGGAAGTGATATCGCAGATGTTCCTGTTTCTGTTGCAAGCTTGTTTCCAACACACAGTTTCACGCTCAATAGAGAACAGATACCAGAAAGCACCAAACACCTGCACATTCACCAAAACATGATATGTTTATGATCTGATCATAAACAACGGTTAGAAACAAATTGGACTTACATGACTAGCAAGCATGTAGAGGACATTTAATAGCTAGCTCAAGAGTGGAGGTTTACCCATACACTTATATAATGCCCAATGACCTCATGTTTACACGATGTGGGACATTTAATAGCCCCTCTCGAGATGTGGGTGGGAAACGGTCCATAGGGAAACAGCCCAAGCCCAACATCTCGGAAATACCACAGGGCCACTTTTACAGGCTACATAGGTAGGAAACTGTTTATGTGGGAAATCATAATGCTGGGCCAAACCATGGGCTCTGATACCATATGAGTGATGGGCCTAACTCACACCCAAAAGCTAGCTCAAGAGTGGAGGTTTACCCATACACTTATATAATGCCCAATGACCTCATGTTTACACGATGTGGGACATTTAATAGCCCCTCTCGAGATGTGGGTGGGAAACGGTCCATAGGGAAACAGCCCAAGCCCAACATCTCGGAAATACCACAGCATATGGGCCACTTTTACAGGCTACATAGGTAGGAAACTGTTTATGTGGGAAATCATAATGCTGGGCCAAACCTGGCTCTGATACCATATGAGTGATGGGCCTAACTCACACCCAAAAGCTAGCTCAAGAGTGGAGGTTTACCCATACACTTATATAATGCCCAATGACCTCATGTTTACACGATGTGGGACATTTAATATGATCATAAACAACGGTTAGAAACAAATTGGACTTACATGACTAGCAAGCATGTAGAGGAAGAGATTGAAAGCAGCTCCTGCCCAAGCTGTCTCAGTAAGTATGCCTGAGGTTCTTGTCACTTCCTTGTAGAGCGGATAGATTCTTATAAACCTCGGTATGTATTGGAAGAAAACAATGAATTTCAAAAGATTCTTCGTGTTCAAAGACCTTGAGCCTCTCATATGCGGAATAATAATCAAAATCACCACCTGAAGATATACCAATTACTCTTTAAAATCACCATACAAACAAAACCAAACCAAACCAATCTCACCTGTGGAAGAGGAAGAACAGCGAGAATATCGATAATGAAATGGGAAGACAAGTAACGCATAGCGATCTGTCTAGTGTCCTCAACAAGAACACCTCTCCCAAAGACACGAGAAGAAGGAGCGATGAAGCCAGTACGGAACTGGAAAATGATGTGAATAACGTAGAAGATATCAGTGAATGAACGCAGAACGCTAGCGGTTATCTCCATTTTATTGTCAAGACCAAGACATTTCTTGGTGTCGTTGATGACGGGAACGTAGAAGAACAAAGGGTCGAGAGAAACAGCGATGATACAAGCCAAAACGAAGATCTTGTTCCATCTCTGTAAGAAAGGTCCTTGCGGGTCAAGGATCTTGTGACTCGAATCAATCCCTTTTGATACGGCTTCTTTGAAAGAGTAAGACTTGTATGATCTCCTGAACGTTTTGAATCTCGCCGAGCTTCTCTGGAACTTGTCGGAGATTGAGCTTATCGTTCTCCGGAATATTCCGTTTGGGACCTCGTTTCTACCGGAATATTCCACGTCGGAAGTCTTGTCGGACTTCCAGTCCTGAAACCTGATCCAAAAAACAAGTGAAGAAACAACAAATCGAATTAAGGTTTCAAGAAGTATAATTTTCGAGGAGACTGGATTGGGTTTGGTTTGGTTTGGAACTGAACTGACCTTACAAACTTTTCTTGTCGGAAATTCATTTGTTGGAGAACAAATACTTCAAATCGCAGAGATTTCACCTCTCATGTACTTTCTTCTTCTTTGTCAAATTTCGAAGTAAAGAAGAATCTTTTTTTTCTAAGTAGAAATCAGACAGAACACGGACAAGTCTTTTGTTTCCGAGAATCCAGTAGATTCGAAGAGATTTGAGGAAGGACAAGAACTATAAAAAAGGGTAAAGGAAAAAAAAAATCACTGTTTGAACCCACCTAAAAGAAGAAATAAAAATTCAATTTTTGTTTTGTTTTTCCTCGAAAAGAGCAAGAAAAATAAAATAAAAACAAAAGAGAAAAACGAACCCAGAAACAAAAGAAGAGAGAGAGAGATGAAGATTGAAGAAGAAGAAGATAGTGAATGATGAAAGCGAAGCCTTTTGCGGAAGACAGAGAGGACGGGGAGGAGTTTCCACGAAAGTCACAGACTTTTGCTGTATTTTTTTAATATTTCTTGCTCCTTTTTTTTTGCGGTTTACTAATTTTTTCACTGTTTTTATGAGTTTTTTAAGTCATCCCAAAAAGACAGTTATACTCTGCAACTCCTTTGGTTTTTTTAAGATTTGGAACCAAACATGAACAGCTTATATGAGTGACTGGAGTGACTGTGATTTTTTTAGTACGAAATCATTTTCAAACTGAGTTACTATATATTGTGTAATAACTAAAATGATAGTAGAAGAATATGTTGAAAGATTAACTATACACCAATATACTGTATGTTTTCTTTGCTAATAATATAGCAGTTATTTATGATGATTTTATTATTTGTAAGATGATTTTTCGCATTTGAACTCTCACGTTAAAAGTTGAAGCGGTTAATATCAATATTAATGAATAGTAATATATAATTTATCATATAATTGAATTATAAACAAATTTATATTAATAATATTAGATTTCTATATTATATTGGGTAATTATTAAAAATTAATCAAAAAAAACTTTTCAAAAAGTATATATTCTTTTCTTAAGAAGATAATTCCTATATACACTCGGTTGTTATCCGAAAATAAATTTTTAAGCATAGAAAATTAAAATAAGAAATAAGAATATTCTATGAACAATAATTAAGTACAAAAAATTAAATTTTAAAATTTTAATAATGTTATTTTTAAAGTAATTTTCACATTTGAAATCTCATGTTAAAAATTAGATTTTTTTATTAGTTAATTGTATAGGAATTAATATAAAAATTGGCCAAAAATAAAAATGTATGTTAAAATAAAAAAATATAATTCATAGAAATATCGTTTATGTCACTAATTGATCATAAATAAATAAATTTCTTAGAAATTATTAGATAATTGTATATATATTTGAAAAAATAATTAAACAAATTAAAAAGAAGATAATTTCTATATATATTATATTGTTACCCGAAAGATAGATTATAATCATAGAAAATAAAAATTAAGAAATAGAAAGATGTATAAACATTACTTTAGTAAAAATAGGGATGGGCATTCGGTGTTTCAATTGGGCTTCGGTTCAGGTCCAATCGGGTTTTCAGGTTTACGAAAATCAACTTCATTCGGATATTATAAAAGATTGATTTGGATTCAATCTGAGTTTAGTCGGGTTCGGTTTGGATTTAGTCAGGTTCGGTTCAGACTTATTAACATTTCTAAGAACCGGTTGAGCCTGATATAATTTTGGGTTTCAGATCTTAATCGGATTTTTAGTTCTAAAACACTAATTTGTACTTAGTTATACCCTACAAAAAAACTTAAAAATTTATTAAAGTAAAGAAAATTTATCTGAATGAATTGTATTTTTATGTCTTAGTGCCATAATATATGTTGACCAAAAAATCATGGGTACATCAGCTTGATATAAATTATATTAAACTTAAATCACATATAATGAAACATAAAATATTAAAGTTAACAACTAACGATTCTATAAACGTAAAAATACTATTTAAATGTAAAAATAACAATATTATTTAAAGTTCAAAATAAATTTATTCATAACTAAACGTCAAATGCAATATCAAACATAAAACATTAATATTAACCAAATAAAAATATATATTCGCCTAAGTATTTGAGTTAATTATTCATGTAATAACTAATTATTGTAGGTACTCAATAATATTTTAATGTGTTTTGGCTATATATTATAAATTTTAGATTGAGTATGGTACAAGCTTTTATGAAATTTTGAAAGTTTCGGGTTTTTTTTCGGATAACCATTTAAATTTAGGTACAGCTTGGGTAAAATTCATAACCTGAAATATCGTAAAACTAGATTCATTTGGTACTTATGTCAGGTTTGGATCGGTTGGGTCAGATTTGGTTCGGATTTTTGCATTTGCTCTGCCCTAATAAAAAAATAGTAAATTTTGTAATTTTTAATGCTTGATTATGTCCGCATGTGTTTTAATTTCTGGTTATTTGGATTTTAGATTTTTTTTTTTTGTAAAATAGATTTCTTCTGGAACTATTTTATTATATTATTTTGGTTTGGTTTGGTTTGATTTTAAATGGTTTGATGTGGTTTTGGTTTAGTCTTATACAAAATATAATAAAGTAAAACTAATAATAAATATCATATGTAGTGTGATTTCTATATAATAAATTAGAATATATTTAAAGAATTTTGGTTGATCTGGTTCATTAGTTTATCTGGTTTCATAAAATTTGAATTCAGTTATTCAATATAAAAGTTTATAATTTATTCGAAATGTACATTACAATTCGGCTTGGTTTGGATTTGAAATTTTTTGGTTTAGATTCATGATTTGATTTGATTATTTAACCCAGTTCTATAATAACTATTAAAATAAAATCACATTTTTTATAATACTATTCACTACACCAAATATTAAAATAATATATTTTATTACTTTTATTTAATTATAGACATGTTAGTTTCATTAGCCAGTTTAACTTATAGTTAAAATGAATACATCATAATATTTTTTTATTTATATTTTCACATTACTAAAACATTAAACTATTATTTTATTTTATTTTAATTAGTAATATAACTAAATGAGTATAATCAATTAAATTAATTTGTAACAAAATAAAATATGCCTTTCATTGTAAATTTATAAGATATTACTTTTGACTAACATTTAAAATAAATAAATAAATAAATATAAAAAATAACTAAAATATTATAACATATATAAATAAAGAGAGAGATAAAACTACCAAATTTTAATTAATAAGTATGAAAACTAAATGTGATAAATCTAATTAGTCAATTATAAATAATTAATGTACTAAATTACCAAAACTAAAAGCTAACAATATAAAATATTGTTTTGGCATAAAATTTATTGTGATGGTTGGAGATGAAAAATAAAGTTTAACATTAAAACACTAAATTTGGTGTAATTTAAACACCAAAGTAATGGCCATATCAAGTTTTTAACATTTATTATGTTAGCGAAAAAGAGGAAATAATGTATTATTATCAGTCTTCAAACTTGTTATATATATATATATATATATATATATATATATATTGTAAACTAACTTGTGATAGATATTTATAAATAATAATTATTAGCAGGAAAAGATATTTTAAACAACAACAAACAACTTCCGAAGATGCAATAACCAAAGACAAAGCAATGCAAAAGTAGACTAAAGCAAAACAAATTTAGAAGACTAAAAAGAAGCAGCTATGTCTGAGCAAAATTCAGCTCACAATAGGAGGTCTTCAGTTAAGAAATTGGCTTGCTGAAAGGATTAGACGTCAAAACATACGAACCTGAGAAAGCAATATCGACAGCCACAAACCTCGTCCATACGTCTAGCAAAGATGAATGTGGAATAATACACCGTTGAGATGAAGCTGACATTTACAGTCTAATGGTTACTGTGACATAAAATTGTCATCGGTTACGATATGTAATTATATTTGGGGTCGGTTTAGGACCAAACCGGATAAAACATGACCTCCAATTTTTTTTGAAAAAAATTATACAATTATAGGCAGCAAAAAATAATTATTAGATCCCCAAATTTATATTAAGAAATTAAATGAAATCTATGATACGAATGCCTAGGTTTGGATCACCGTAGGAAATTCCCCTGATTTTTTGTTGTGGGAGAACATAAGAACATGTCCATGAACAAACAAAAAGGGGGGGGGGGAGTTCGAATTCCCAAGTTGATTTTTTAATTTTTTTTGTTTTTTCTGTTAGATTTAAAAAAATATTAATAATCAAGTCTGTGACGTGGCGTGGAGTCCGCGAAACAGTGATAAACTAGATTTATTTTCGGGACCTCACAGAAGACAAATTCATTAGTTTTGATTATTTTAATATTTTTTTGGAGAACGTGTGAACCTCCCCTAAAGTTCACTGATGTACATGGTCTAAGATATGTCTGTCAAGACACCGAACTGCAAAGACATGAATATTTTAGAGTTTTTCTTGAGTCAAATCACACATATGTTCCATGTATTGAACATTAACCATATATATATATATATATATATATATATTAAGTTTTTATATTTGAAAAAAATAGTTGTTAAAAATAAGAAAAAGTAACAACAACTTTCCGTCAAATAATCTCATAGAGTAGTTATCAGCAAATTATAGCATTAGCAGAGCTAGCATTAGCAGAGCCGTGCTTATGGTGTTATCGAAAAGACATTTGCTTTAGGTTCCAGAATATATAAATTTTAGGACCCCAAAATACTAGAAGTAGTTTTATGGTGTAGTGGTTACAGTGTTTTTTTACTTAGGTTTTAGGACCCCAAAATAATAGAAGTAGTCCGAACGTCAACTTTACTATCATTAAGACTCTGTTATTTTTATTATTATAGCTTCTTTCAGTTTATGTTTTTATGCCACAACTTTTTTTCTATGTTTTAGATTGCTTTAAAATTTTTAAAAATGTGTATAAGAAAACAACATTTATATAAAAGATTTTATCTATATTTTTATTACAAAGTATGTATTACAAGACCTTTAAATGATTTTATTAAAATTTTGCCAAAGGCCTCCCAAAGTACTCGCA